TTTAAAATTGTCATCATTGGTTTGATTCATTTTTTCCTCCTTATGAAGAGCATGAGTTAATAGTCTGCCCCTTTGCTGACATAAGATACTGTTTTAAAAATTACTTTAACTTGTCTAAATCTTGGGGACTGGCTTAATAAATTACAGTATATCTATAAACAAGGATAATTTATAGCCAATAAAAGTCAGAATTCAAAAGAATACTTAATGAGAAAGGAAAATGTTCACGATATGTCATTAAGCATTAAAAGCTGGTTAAAAAATGTTATGTCTAGTGTGATTCCAAGTTTGTAAAAAATAGATATGCAAAGAAAAAAGACTGAAATATAATAAAGATTTTAACACTGCTTGTCTTTGGAGGATGGAAATACAAATGATTTCTAAAAATTATTTTTGTTGAACTTCTGGGAAATTCTCAGTTTTGTACATGAACATGGAAGGCTTTTATAATGAGAGAAAATAACTTGTTAGTAAAATTATTTTGCCTTTTTTTTTTCTCCTTGCCTTCCTTGGATCTAAGACTCAATTCTCTTGATATTAAACACAGAACTGACCAGGCTCCTGGGTGGCTCAGTCATTGGGCGCCTGTCTTCGGCTCAGGTCATGATCCCAGGGTCCCGGGATCGAGCCCCATATGGGGCTCTCTGCTTAGCGGGAAGCCTGCTTCTCCCTCTCCCACTCCCCCTGCTTGTGTTCCTTCTCTCGCTGTGCCTCTCTCTGTCAAATAAATAAATAAAATCTTAAAAAAAATAAACACAGAACTGACCAACAGAAAATTCTGTGAGATCACTGGATTGCTGCCCACCTTTTTCTGATGCAACCAGGGAGGTGGGTCAGTCCCTGCCTTTTTTCTCCTACTCTGGGTTCCAGGGTATCAAGAAGGTCCCTGATTGACATTGAGCACAAACATCTAAGTACAGAGGTCTGACTGTTTGGGTCCAGACCCTGCTAGATCCAGCTACAGGGGTGCATGTATCTAACTAGGACCCATCCTTGTGGAACCGGTGGGACCCTGGGGTTCTAAAGAGAAGTTCAGGAAGTCATGAGAGGTCTGCATGAAGGAGCCTCGTGAGTACTTAGAAGAGGATCAGGGCCCCAGCCAAACAGATTGGGATTCTCTGAAGGGCTCAACTCCCAGATGGATGTGTTACCAGGCCGAGTGATTAAACGGAACATCCATTTGGCAAGTAAGATAAACCAGGCCTAAGGAAGCCCAGTCAAGAGCGGGGGACTTAGGTGGCTCTCCAGGTACAGTTAGGGAGGGGAAGAAAAATGCACATTCCCTGAGTGTCCACTAGGTGGCAGGCCCTTTCTTATACTAAGAACTCAAGTGTCTGTATTCGCAAGCATTTTCTGATATTCAGGTTTTTAAGAATCACGCAGAGGGCTGGTTAAAAAACACAGATTCTTGGGCCCCTTTCCAAAGCTTCCAATTCAGCAGTCTGGGGTGCGGCCCCAGATTCTGCATTTCTAACAAGCTCCCGATGCAGCTAGTGCCACTGTTGGGTGCACTTTGAGCACCACCAAATAAATACAGCATCTCAGACTCTGGGAGAGAAGGAAGTGGGCAGCAGTAGGATGTGGTCCTCGTGGCTGAGCAATCAGTTCAAACTGTGACAAAGATTCCAGGGAAGGTGTAGTGTGGAGATAGAAGGGTGGCTTGGGTCACCTGCTGCTGGTTGGAAATGGCCTCTGGTACTCGAGCAGATTGGAACTGTGGGCTGTGGCAGAAGGCTAAGTCTCCAGAGCTCTCATTCCAGTTAAATGTGTTACCAGTTCATTTCCTTAGAATGACTGTAGCAGAGAGAAGCGCAGTTATATGCAGATTAAAATGAAAGCAGTATTCAGACCCAAATTGAAAACCAAAACATTAACTATGTACCAAAAATAAGCCAAAGGAAAAAAACATCAAGAATTCTATAACGCACGGATCAGTGATTCTCAAATTATTTGAACTGAAGGACCATTTAAAAATATATCTGGTCCATTATAGTGCAGCGCACGGTTCTTTTGCACAAGACTTTTACCTAGCTCTAGCCATGCATGACTCACCAGGCGAGTTTGACAGTTCCTGACTGGTCCAGACCCTGTTCAGTGAGGTGAGTCCACTGATCATGTATTTGAATGTCAGCAGTAATTTGCCACATTGCTATAAAAGTTTCTGAAGCTCACTCTTAGTTTCTATATTTGCATCAATAGAGAGGAATAATAACAATTTTTAGGAGGGTACCCATGCACCAACCACACTTTGAGGTGCGCTGATCTGCCCCAGCTGTATGGCTGCCTGAGCGATGGGCTTACTGTGGAACTTCCGGCAGGCAATCTGTTCTTTCGGCTCTTGTACTGCAGATCCTTAACTTTTTGTATCCCTCAGGGCCATTTAGTTCTTATCAAGCCAATTTGGGCTCCTTGGAATGGGGCTAGTTGGATGTACTTTTGGCCTCGATGCGATTGCTTCATGCTCAGACATCAAGGGTAACGTCCTATACAGGGTATGCACTTAATGAACACCGATGGGATGAATGCATGGAATGGTAGGCCGGGACTGAGATATCAAGCATGCCTGGGGGCTGGACAGAGATAGCCAGGAAATACATGCCCGGCGTAAAGGGGCATCCAAACAGAACTCTCCACATGGTGATTTTATGCAGGTGGCAGACAAGCAGAGAAGATGGAGGAGAACCAACTCCAAAAAGAACAAAGTGACTAATCAGGTTATTTCTCTGGCCTCCCTGGTGCCTCACTAAATACAGGCGCCCACTGTGAGTGAGTAAGATTTAGTTTATCAAGTTCATGGGCCATGACAACGTAGGCTTTCCCAGGGTATTTTCATGCCGAACCAAGCCATTGCCTCACATTCAAGCCAAGATGAACCCTGCTGGTTACTCTAGAAACTACCGGAGAGTTTTCCCTAGTTGTTTTCCTTTTAATATGAGAATCTTGAGGAAGGACTTTAATGTAATAATTTAATTATGTTTTCTTATTAAACAATTCTCTTTCAGCAAAGGAGAGCTGAATGAATGCAAAATGGATTATCAGCTTGAATCCACCCCAAAACGTCATGCCCTAGCCCACACTCACCTGGCTTCTTCTCCTTCTCCATTCCTTACCAGGCACACAGTGCAGCACAAGCAATTTATGTGACTTAATGATGCATAGCTAATAATACTGATCACAGTAATAATGATAGCTGCTATTTAGAGAGCCCTTAGGAGAGGTACTATATTAAATGCATGCTTAAATACATTATCTTATTTAATTCCATCAGTGATCACATAAGTTTGCTCAAGGACAGAGTGGAAGGGCTAGGATTCTAGCCCAAATCTGTGGTTTTAACCACTGCACTACAGTTAGGGCCTTGGGTCCAAATAGAGACTGTTTCCTTTTGCTTTTAAGGTATAACAACAAAAGAAGTATACCGTATTAGGAACTTTGAATACCCAAGGCCAAGATTTCTTGTAAGTGATAGAGGCATAGACAGATCCTATGAATGAATGAATGAATGAATGAATGAACAAATGAGTGAACATGGGTGCCAGCTGTGAATGAATCAAATTTAGTTTGTGAATTTCTTAGATCATGAGGACACTACAGTTTCATGTTGGTGTTTCACTGTTAGCCAAGGACTGACATGGTTTTGATGCTGGCTCATAAAATCTGAAGATACAATCTGGTTACAAAATCTAAGACTAAATCTCAATTATATCTCAAACAAATTTGCACACACACACACACACACACACACACAAACAAGTTTGTCTCATATGCTGACTCTTCAAAAAAATGTATTTTGTTCTTTTTCTCAATATCCTTTTCAGTTTCTCAAATCTCCCAAATACTAAAGGTGAGAGGTAGTTCAAACGCAAATCTTTCCAAAGAGAACATGTATAGTTTTGACTGCACTCAAATCAGAGCTCATGCCACTATTTTATTATTTTTAGATAATTCTATTTTCAATAGAAACGATCTACACACTCAACTTCTTGGATCAACTGGTAGTTCCAAGGAGCTTTTGATTAAGTGTTTTCATAAAAGTTAAAGGACCAGCACTTTTTTGACAGGATAAATATAATCATGTGCTTATGTTCAAGTTAGAACAGTATGCAAAAGTCTCTCATGGCTCATACATAGGAGTCTTTACAAACTTTCATTAATATATCTTGGTGAGTGATTGCCAGATTTCCAAATACACAAATTAAAACTTTATCATGAGTCAAAATCCTTCAAGAAGAACCAAAAAGACCTTATTTTTCCTCCATGCTAAATTGAAAAACAATGGAAAGTCACATGAACATGGACATTTAAAAACACAATGAATTTACAAAGCAAACATTTTGGGGCGCCCTAAGACAATAAAGCGATCAGCACAAAGACATCTGTCGGGTGAGGCAACCTGAGGTAAAGACCAGTTAAATCTAATGCAATCAGGAACTTAGTCCAGTTTAACACTTTTTTTATGAGGTGACAACCTCCTAACACCATAATCTTGCCTTTCAGGAAGATGACACAAAGATTTAATGAGTAAAAGAAAACAACTTAAAACCTCTCTTTTGAGCGTGAATTGTCTATTTGGGTTAAAGGTAGTCTTTGAAATCCCATTAGCTACTGGCACAATTGGGAAAAGAGATGTATACACACACACACACACACACACACATCAAAGCAAGTAGCTACAGAACGATAGCAATGTCTGTTTCTACTCAGATGCAAAAACAGAGTTAAAGCCAAAACTAACAACCCTCCTGCTAATTAGAGAAATAAAAATGTCTTTTCCCCAAGTGTCCAACGCAACATGCAACTGAAATTAACTGCTTTTCTTTGGGACTCATTTATTTATGTTTAAAAGAGGATTGGGGGATGAAGAAACCTTGCAATGGAACAGTTGGGGAAAACACATGGATACCATACATTGGAATAAATGGAGCTGAGCACACAGTGCCAACAGAGCTCTTTTTCACTTGTGGAAACACGATATTATGGTCTAATAAAAACTGGGTTACCTTTACATTTCTTTTCTTCTGTTTGGAAGGTCTGGGCACTTGGGACACTCTGATCGTTCACATCGTCATGGTCCAGATGGAATATCGAGCTAGTCCAAGTGGTCTGGATGAGATGTGGTGACGGCTGTTCATTTTTCAATGTGTTGCGCCTCTCCGCATGGCTCTTCCTATGGAGGCAGGCTTCAGACATTCCTACTAGCTTCCAGTCGTGTTCTCGGTCTGGACAGTGCTTTGGTTTGTCCCAGGCTGGAAGGCCATTTTCTGGAGGGTTGAAAAACACGAGATGACGAGCTGTTGGCATTGTCAAGATTTTGTTGAGTTGCAGTTTTGGAAGGCACGTTGTTTCTCAATTCTTTGGGGCTGACAGTATTCAAATGTACCTCCCCTTGATGGCAGTGATAAGATGCAGAATTTGTCAGCCTTGGGCATTTAGCCACCACAGTTGGATTGCCTGTCGGAGTAATCAACACATTCCCCCTTATTTTTAGTGCCTAGAAAGACATTAGTTCCTCCAGTGGAAAGGCTGTATTTTCACCAGCCAGGCTTCCATAGCAATGGCCCAAGAGCAAGTTTACACCAATTTATGTGACTGCTTAGACGATCGTTTGAGGTCTTGAGGGTCAGGGCTGGCCGTGAACACTTTTCAGATCCTTAGGACATAAAACATCCAGGATTCAGCCTTGTTTGACTTGGGTTTTATCACAGGCTGACCTGAGGGGCACCCTGTTACTTAAGTGGGACATGCTCACGTGGTTCCTCCGGGAGTGACAACTCAGTCCTTCCTACAACCTTCTACTCCTAATGGCCCAAGACAAAGAGACTGGATCTTCAGATAGAAATTTGTAAACAGTTTCAATGTAGTTCCAAATTGGCGATGAGATCCAATGAAGGAAAGCAGATAGTCCTTTAGTGGGGGGTGGAGGGGGCAAATTAACAGCCCTAATGATAGAATGATAAGCCCTGAATCTCTTTGGTTGAGGTATAGGCAGTGAATTATTCATGTATATTGTGGTTTTTTTTTTCCTATTTAATTTAAAGGGAATTGAAGATCTGCCCTTTAGAAAATGGGAAGAAATGGAATAATATAATGCAGTAATATAATGTAAACTTTCTTACACTAACCTTTCCTGGTGGCAAATTTTAACTCCTTGAATATCTTTACTGTACATGGATATAATGTACAGAGCAAAAATGAGCAGGCTATGTATATATTTGTATATGCATATACGTTAAAAAACATAATCCATCTGGTCATCCATATTTCTGGAAATGCTTAGGTTCCTGTCTGTCAAAATGAGAAATATACAATATAAATAGAGTTCTACTTTTAAAGTGATCATATACAGTGATTGAAAGACTATCATTTATGTGTGAATTCTCCTTTCTGCTGAAATTACCAAAGGAGCATAGATATCCATATTAGAGAGACAAGTCCATCCTGATCTGTGCATAGTATTGGGAATTTTAAGCTGCCTTTCCAACACTTAAAATGATTTTTAAATTATTTAATGCAAGGGCTCAAAATGCTTTAGGTTTTCATAAGCCCCGTCTGTAAATGACTAATTGTCTTCAGTTGTTGTTGGTCAGGATCGTTTCTCTAAAAGTGTGATCTACTCTCAGTCACTTTGGAGGCTGCACTTTCCCTTGAGTCTTCAGGTCACTATGTGGAAATTCTAATACACATACACTCCCTTTCTACTCCACGAGGAGACTGTGAACAATGACTGCCAAGTAATAATCAACCCATGATTTCTTTGTCACAGTAAATGGAAATGCTGTGGCTTGAAATAACATGGCCAGTAAGCAATAAATCCATGCAAAAAAAATTCTATAATGTGACAGCTCTGGGAAATAACATTTGATCTTATTCAGACACATACAATTCACCCTATGCAAATGGCTAAGTTAGGCATTGTGTGAGGTCATGAGTTCTTTCTCTACATTATTATATGACATTATTCACTGCCTGGTGAATCAGAAACTCTGGATTCAACCATAGCCAGCCCCTGGTGCAATTATAGGCACCTATTCTCCCTATCCATTAAAAGAAAACAACAGATTAAAATCTTGGGAGATTGTGTTGCATTTCAAATTAAACATATCTATGTAGAATCCATTCAAGTTTATTATCCATGAGGGTTTGAGGTTTTTCTGAGCTAAATATAAAGCTACTGAATGCAAGAGTTAACTCTGGGCCTAAAGAGGATTCATTTTATTTCTACAGACATGAAAGCCTTCTGACCCATGCATGTTTCTATGATGTCTTCTTTATTTTCAGGGACTCTCTAAATCCTCGGTAAATTGTATCTTGTAAAGCTCTATTTTAATGTGAAAGTTATCACACTATTTTGTAAAGCCTCCAACATTTGATTTTTTTCTGCAGAAATTCTTAAAATTTTATTTTATTAACTTCCTTGATCAAACAGAAATTAAGAAACATCCCCAAGGTGGATAGTCACTGCTCCCCAGCGAAAGGAGCTAGTGGCCATGCTTGGATGAGAGATGCTGAAAGGGACTCCACCCAAGGGGACATTCCTCCTTAAAGCACAGCCTATTAAATCTTGCTCAGCATGTCTCCTGAGTCAGCAAGAGCAGGTATTTCTTCTAAGCAAGGGAGGTTATGTTTGGGGTGAGGCAAGGGATAGGATTGCCTTCCATTTTCCTAAGAAAAGAAGTTGAGATGGTTTGGGGGAAAGGGCTTAATTCACAGGAGGCATTTACAGGCTCGTAATTACGGTCTGTAATTCCATTCATGATAATGATATTCAGCTGCTTAACTGGTAGGTTTATTGGTTGGGGCACTGCTGGGAAACCCGGGGACTGAGAAGTCTTGGCTGGGTCATGGGAAAGCTCAAGAGGATTTTATTTAAGGAGGATTCTTGATTCTTATCCTTCCAAGAAGAGGGGGACACATACAATTCCCATTCCATTCCCAAGGAAGGATAAGATACCCACTATACCGAGCTCCTTAAATCCTGCCTACTGAGGATGCTGTTGTTGGTGAGAACTGTAAGTTACCTCCGCATGTGTTCACTTGGCAGTACTGGTTTTCAGGGGTATCCTGATATTTCTTTGTCTAATGCTTGTATCCCTTGGTTCTCCCCAAACTCAAACCAATGAAGTATGTCTTTGTAAAGAGATTGAAATATTAAAAGATTAAGTCAGTGATTCCCAAACTTTGGTGAGTGACAATTACCTGAGGCGCTATTAAAGAACACGGAGACCAGGCCTATAGAAGTGGGATGGGCCCAGGGCATTTGTATATTTACTAAGTTCTCCAGATGATTCTGATACCCAAGAGAGTTTGAGATCCACAGGGTTAAGAAAATTGAAGGTGGGAAAACAAATTACTGGCAGGTTTCAGATAAGGGTGCAGTGTCCTTCTTAGGCTCTATTGTTTTACACAGCCTTGAAGTAAATTTACTTTATAATTAAACAATTCACCAATGTTTTGGGATCAACTGTGTGAAGATTTAGAAGTCAGATATTATGAAAAGATGCTCAACATCACTCATCATCAGGGAAATGCCAATCAAAACCACAATGAGCTATCCCCTCACACCTGTCAGAATGGCTAGAATAAAAAACACAAGAAACAACAGGTGTTGGCGAGGATGTGGAGAAAAAGTGGGAAAGGTGCACTGCTGGTGGGAATGTAAATTGGTGCAGCCACTGTAGGAAACGGTATGGAGGTTCCTCAAGAAACTAAAAACAGAATTGTCATATGATCCAGTAATTCCACTACTGGGTACTTACCCAAAGAAAACACACTTATTAGAAAAGATATAAGTACAATATATTACTTACAATAGCCAAGATATGGAAGCAACCTAAGTGTTCATCAATAGATGAATGAATAAAGAAGTGGTGTGTACACACACACACACACATAGGAATATTACACAGCCATAAAAAAGGATGAGATCTTGCCACTTGCAGCAACATAAATGGACCTAGAGGATATTATGCTAAGTGAAATAAATCAGAGAGAGGAAACTGATGGTTGCCAGAGGAGAGGAGGGTGTGGGGTGGGTAAAATGGGTGAAGGGGAGTGGGAGGTACAGGCTTCCAGTTATGGGATGAATAAGCCATGGGGATGAGAGGTACAGCACAGGGAATATAGTTGATGGTATGATAGTAGTGCTGTGTGGTGACAGATGGTAGCTACACTTGTGAGCAGAGCAGAAAATGTAGATTTGTCAAATCACTATGTTGGACACCTGAACTAACATAACATTGTGTGTCAACTCTATTTCAATAAAAATGTCAGATATTAATTGGATGTTCTCTTATAGATTGGGGGTATGGATATAAATAAATGTTCACCCAAAAAGTTTGTTGTCCTGGGCATTATCTGGGACACAATGTGCACAGTAGTAGAAATACATTTTTTTTAAAAGGAGGATTCTACAAATGATCATGTTATTCACATGAAGTATGAATCTTTGCTCTTTAATGGATCCCAGCTAATACCTGGCTTTTGATACTTCATAATTCTAGGCATCAAGACAACCAATTTGTCAGTTATGATGCAAATTAATAACAAAATTAAAGGTAATAACTAGATAGGAACATGTGAACTGTTACTAAAATAACTAGACACATCCTGGCCTGTTTCTCGAGAGAGTTTAGAATCGAATGATTGAATTTTTGTTAGATGATTATAATTCTTTTGGCTTTGATTGACACAACCCCAGTCTACAAAGTTATTTTGCAAAAAGAAACAAACCTAAATCTCATTAACATAATTATGAACAACCTATCTCTGGAAATTACATTAAATATGATAGAAAAGAAATCCGTCCATCAAAAAAGGGAGAATTATATGAAAATATTCAAGTATTTCAGGACACAAAAGCGAGCTGATACCTTAGAAATGCAATAAGGCAAAGGAAATAGGCTTATGACCAAGTGGTCAGAGAGGGTCAGCTGAGTGGGCTGGAATTTCATGGCACTCATTAAAGGAGTGTTTAGTTCGCATTAAAGGCCATTAGTTTTAGGCATTGAGACCCCAAACCATACTCTGTATTAGGGGGATGTGTATACGATATGCTTTGCAAGCCCAGGGAGTGTGTAGAATTTTCACTGGATAGCTCAGGCTATTAGCATGATGTCTCTAATTTCCATTCTAATTTTTTACTCAGGCCCGTAAGTTTTAGTTTCACCGAATTCTCAGACTATGTACATATCAACTGATTTTTATTTGTGGAGTCACGCAGAAGAGGAGACTAATGTTTGGCTGAGCATTCACTAAGGGCCAAATCCTGAACTAGATACTTTTATTCATCTTCATGAACATCCAGGGAAGTCCGTAGTGAGACACTGCTTGATTTACTAGGAACCTGAAATTCAGAGAAAGCACTTCATCTACTTTTTCATACCTTTTGTGCTGTTAACAGATATATTATCATTATTTGCCTTAGTTTGATGAGTAGCCATTAGCCTATTAATAGGTATCATTTTGTCAGTTCTTTGGAAGTTCTTTATCAACTATGTTTATTGTCCCATTCAATTTTCTCAGTTACTCATTTATATTCGCAACTGGTCTGCCCGCTTTCACTCTGAGCCACCTACAACCCATTGTTCATAGAGTAGCCAGAGTGAGCTTTAAAAGTACATTTCAGAACATGTCTCTCTGGTGCTTACAATCTTCTGATGACTTCCATCAATATTGGAACGAGGTCCTAAGGCCTTACTGCAGCCTGAAATGCCCCAAGGGATTTATCCCTAGTCCATCCCACCGAGCCTCTCTCCTGTGGCTCAGCCCCTTGTTCTCTGTTCTCTGGCCACATGGGCTTCTTCTAACATGTACTCATTCCCACCAGTCTTTGCAGAAGCTCCTCCCTAAGCCTGGGGTGCCCTTTCCGAATCCTTCCTCACCTCCTCTTGATGTACCAGGAACAATTACCGGGCTCCAACCCCACATCCCCTTTTACCTGGAGGTTGGATTTTCCCTTTTATGGAACATATCAGGGTTGTATTTCTCAAGGAAGATAATCAAAAGTAAAAGTAAGGGGTGGGATCCCTGTACCGCCCTGGAGGTGGCTCTGTTTCAGTGGAGAGAGGAGAGGGCTAGGTTGGAAATCTGAGTCCCACTCTTCCATGTAACGGCTGAAGGGTCTAATTTTGAAAATCACTTCCTTTTTCTAAACCTCCGTTCTCTTCATGTGTAAAGTGGCAATATAATATTGCTCATGGGATTTCACCCCTTTTCCACCACCTTCAAGGCCGAGATGACTGTGTAGGTTTTCTTGAACCATCCATCCACCCTCTGAACATCCATTAACACTTTCCATGTATCTCTCTCCACCCATGTTCTACTCCATACCTCATGATCTCACCATTTACATACATGTTTTCTTTTCTTTTCTTTCTTTCTTTCTTTCCTTCTTTCTTTCTTTCTTTCTTCTTTCTCTTTCTTTCTGTGACACAGTGCCTAGCATCATGCCCTCATTGATTATCTCCCAATAATCCGGTAACTTTGCAAAGAGAAAACTGTTTCCTAGGTACAGACTCTATGCCTGTTTTCTTATCTAAAAGCCACTGGTAAGTCATAAGGAAGACTCAAGACTATGAAAACCAATTCAACGAAGATTTTCTACTACTAGCATTATCTTCTCAAAACCGCAGGAGAAAATGAAAACTTTTTTTCTTTTTAGAGGCAGGATAGGATAAGAATCTGGGCTCTGCTGGTCAAGGTTCAAATTCTGGCTTTGGCATTTATCAGCTGTGTGACTTTGGGCAAATTGCTCTTACCTCTCTGGATCTCCCTCCTGAGTATCTATAATACTTGTTTCCATCTCCTCTGTGCGGCAAGAACTCACCACGTTTTCCTTGTATTATGTCGATGGTTTCCACACTTTTCTCCCCCCTCTGTTGGACTCTGATCAACTTATCCATCTCTCAGTTCTCACAGCTCCAAGCACAGTGCCTTAACATGAGAGGACCTGAATAAATATTACTTGGAAACAATGTAACATAATATAGACAGGTCAGAATACTCTGGGAGCTAAACAGAGCACACATGGACTTCTATCTATCTAGGAATTTCTCTGCACTGAGCAATAATGTGCTGTACACGAGACCCACTCTGCCAGAACTGGTTTGCATCAACGTTCTGCAACAAAGGGGGCTTGGCCATAACCAGACCCTGCAGCATGGCCGGAGAGGTGTTCTGTGCCCAGAGAAGGCGGGAGGGGCAGTTAGATGACTCTGTTCATCCTAGTCTTCAGACTGGGTAAACCCACCGTTTTTACTCTGGCATTTTTCTCCCATGAAACCCTTTGCCTAAACGACAGGTGTGGCTTGTTGTCTGCTGCCCAGACAAGTGTCTGGTGAAGAGCTTCACATGGGACACTAGAGTATGGCTGCGGGTGTCTCAATGCCACCCTTTCAGGCCCTCTGACATAGCAGTATATCCTTGTCATCTGGGATGGGTGGGCCAGTGCCCAGAGAGCAGGCTGCTGGCTTGCTTGCCAGTGTCCTGGGATACTCTATGGTGGCTTTGCCTGGCCGGGAAATCTCCAGGAGTGGCCCAGGCTGCAGTGCCTGGCTCGCCACTTGCAGTTATGAAGGCCTTTGGGGCAGCACTTGCTTAGTGGAAGCCATGAGACTTGTGAATTTGGAATATTTGGTCAAGGGAGGGAGATTTCTCCAAAATTAGAGAAAAGCTAAATTGTTGACTATTTTTAAAGGAAATTCACTATTACTACTTTCGAGAATTGTGAGGGAAGGGTTACACGACTACTGAGTCTCATGAGTAAACTAGAGTGAAAATCCCTCACAGCATTGGTGTTAAGATTACATGCGCTGACATATACACAAGGTCTACCACTGAACAGAAATATAGTTAAATTCTTGAAGTGTTGCCTTCCTATTTTACACTGATAACTGCAGAGAGCAAATCCACAATTCTCAGTGGGTGGGAAGGAACCTGGAGGATTCATTCTCATGTTCCCTCCTTCTCTCAACCCACACAAACATTATGAACCACCCCCTCCTTGCCTCCGGCTCAGCTTGGGTTCTAGCCGCACATCTGCCTTTATTCTAGTCAGTGGTGAGTTCCTCTTCCTTTGAAAAATATTTATTATTTGTTATAGTAATGTGTAATCACACGTTGCTTCTGATATCTTATTGATGTATGTTAGCATTCCCAATATGAAGCACTGGATGGCCCTTAACATCGTGACCAGCTACGACTTTGGTATTCTCCACAACTTAAGCCTGCAAAATGGAGTGGAATGTTCTGGTCACTGTGGGACATGGGGGCCGTGGGTCACAGCTGGGGAGCAGGCTTCCAGGATTCCAATTCTACAGGAATTCACAATTCACAATTCTATAGGAATTGTGACTAAGGAGGATGAGAAAGGAAGGAAACCATATTTATTATCATGCCCAAGGTATTTTATGTGCATAATAATAGGAACACTAATAATGACAGCTAAAATTTCCAAGCACTTACTGTGTGCGAGCCTACTAGACTAGGCACCATAAATAAAAATTACTATTAACTGAGCACCTACTATGTGCCAGGTAGCATCCTAAGCATTTTTCATACATTATCTAACTTGCATTCCAATACCAAGAGATGGGTATTGTGTCTGTCATTTTACCCAATGAGGAAATAAGCATGGAGGGAAGTTATCAGATTCCTGTTTCTATTTAGAAGGTGTTACAGTGTATGTAATTATTAATTCACCTCTTTAGATCGATGAGCTCCTTGGTAGTTGGGACTGTGGCTTGTTTGCTTGTGCCCCAGCAGGGAGCACGAGGCCGGGCACATTAATGAATGCTCATTACCTTGCGTGGCACTGAATTAAACTCAGCCACTCTCCACGGCTCCCTCCTGCTCGTCCACAGCTCGGTGGGAATCAGGAAATGGTGAAAGAATTCTTCTCCCCTTTGTGCTTGTTCTATCCTCTTCCTGCTCAGCTAAGTGCCATTTCTTATGATCTTCTCTCGGTCCCCAGACTGTTTCCCCAAAACTTCTCTCCTTCACTTCCTCTCCTTCCTCTGTGCTATGTGTCTAAGGATATTTCAAGATCTGGAGCAGAGGACTCTAAGGAAACTAGACTCTGGGGTTTGAGAAGATGATGACCTTTTATTTGCATTTTATTTGAAAATTGAAAAAGAAATGAAGCTTTATTAGCATTGTATTTATGCGTGTATAGAATGAATGAATGGATGGGATACTGAGGGCCATGAAATGTGCTCAAATCTTCCAATCAGGGTGTACTCATCTGCTAATTCACTCCTGAAACTTTATAAATGAGGATCTACTGGGGTCCTTGCTCAGCCTTTGGTTACATGAAATGCATCCTCAGGAATATCTTCTTGTAGGCAAAGTCTGGCAAAATTAGGCTCTTTGTTCAGATAGGCTGCCTTCCATTGCTATATGGTTTTGTCTTTCGTTTACAGAGCACCTGCCTATTGATTTTCCCTTTTGTTGAGACTGGACTTCTCTGCCCCTGTGCACAGGTGAATTTAAGTTTGCTATCACAGAGGGTTTCTCTTATTTCGTTGGCAGGGATTCTCAGTCCATTAAGTGAGTGAGATCTGGGAGCTGCTCGGAGAGAAACAAATCTTTTTCTTATCTGGCTCCTCCTGGGTCTCCAGTTTTCCTGTATATTTCATTAGGCAATCATTATCCAAACGAAAAACAATCATCATAGCTATAGAAACCTCGAATAGTTATTCTGAAACTAGAAACTACAATGATAACCTCTTGATAGGTGAAAACCATTAAAATTTTAAAAAGTGTATGTTTAGAACCTTTAAAGGGGTGCACGTTAATCCATTTTAGAGCGTAGCTGAAAGAAAGTTAAACACAGAACAACAAAATGTGTGTTCCAAGATCACAGTGGAATCTCCATGTGGAGGGGCCGTGCGTGAATACGTGTCAGTGGCCAGGTTCACGAGCAACATCTTACAATGATTTAACCACACAGGAGCAAGCCCCCTGCTGGAACACTGGCCAGAGGCCCCAGAGACCCGGAAGGTAGTTTCCAAAGGACACAGTGGAATCCTCCCCTAGGAACGGTCATTCGGTTTTCCATAATTCATACTGGATTTAATCAGAAAATCCTCAGGTCGGATGACTTAAACTTTGAAGTAATTACTCTAAAGGCCACAGAGATTCCATTTAGGATATTAGACAAGCTACAGCTGTAGCAAAAACATTCATATTAAAGAGCCACAAATGCACATAAAAGGGAGCAGATGTTTACTGCCAGGATTAGATTTCTCCTGCATGAAAGTTCAGGTCATCATGTTTATTCTTATTGCCAGTCCAAACCCACATTTTCAAAAAAAAAAAAAAAAACAACACAAAAAAACACATAAGGTAGTCTGTAAGACTGGCCCCATTTTATGTTTCCACACTCGAAATACCCCTTCCCAGAGTAGGAAATACATGTGAGCCTTTTCTAACTTTGCAAACTGGGACTGGGGTATAATTTGTGGATAAAGAACAAATTGAGATTTACAATTTCTTAAATAAAGAGATAAAATGTGCCTCTTGGGTAATCAGATCAGTATTATAGACACACCCTAAATACTTGGCAGCAAAGCACACATAGTCTTTCAATAAATTAAACTCAGGGATTAACAAAATGGACAAAAATAGATGCTGGTGTTAAATAAAGTGTAATAACATATAGGGCAAGGGATCGATGCTTCTCTGGGTTTTCGTAGAATCTCACTCTCATGTTCCATATTTTTTTCTGTGAAAATAAGTAACTAGCATCAAGATCAATGTAGATATTTCCTTCACTTAGGGGGAAACATTTCAATCTGGAGAAGTTTGCTTTTTCCCTTTGTTCAGGAATAGCAGCCCTGCCACGTTACCCACACCTTCCTTACTCTTGGTTAGGATAGCAGGCGAGATTTTTTACATTGTGAGGACTCCTTGAAGGCAGGTGCTTTGGGGATGTTTTCAGGCCCTCTGAACACTATTAAATACATAAAAAATTTATTTCATTAAATAGGCCCCAGTGCTATGACCCAATGCCATGCGGGGTAGGTCGTGTTCCCTGGGAGGATCTGGCTGAGCACCTGCCCCAGCAGGTCCCCAGCAGCAGAAATGAAGGAGAGAATTAACTTGTTTTCTACCAGCCTATCTTGTGGAAGATAATTTAGCAGTGCAGATGGGTCAAACTGCGATCTGTTCTACAGTGTTTTTACAGTGCAGGAAAATCAAGAGAAGCAGGTGGGATTTCTACTCTCATTTTAACACTTTCTGGGTTTTTTTTCCTTAAACTTTTCAACTGCTTAAAATACAGCTGGCAAGGCTGGGGCTGGAGAGGGTGTGGGGCAACGAATTCCTGCAGTCCTGCCCCTCTCCAGCCTGTCTGCTCCCAATGAAGGCCAGGTGTGCCCCCGTTCCCCCTCCGTCCTCAGATGGCTCGTGAGTATCTCTAAATGTAGTCCGGGGACCTGCCGCATCTACATCACCTGGGAGCTCGTTAGAAATGATGAATCAGAATCTGTATTAACAAGATCTTCATGTGATTCCCAAGCACATGGATGTTTCAGATACTCTGTTCCAGGGGCATAGTCTCCATGTAAAGTAGATAGAATTTGTTACATGTGGGGGTTACTCAATTTAAACTTTGGAGCAATTTAATATTTACTATGTAGAGATAAGATTTCCTATTCAGGAATCAGAAGGGAAAATAGTGTTTGATGGTTGCAGGTTAGGGAAATTAAAGAGAAGTGCCTTTAATGTCTTTATTTCCTAAATGGTTAGTTGGTAAATGTGGTACGTGAAATGGAAAAATCCAAACACTAAGATTCCTCGTTAGAATTTCACCTTTCAGGGCGCCTGGGTGGCTCAGACGGTTAAGCGTCTGCCTTCAGCTCAGGTCATGATCCCAGGGTCCTGGGATCGAGCCCCACATCGGGCTCCCTGCTGGGCGGGGAGTCTGCTTCTCC